CCAGCCCCGCCCCCTGGTGGGCTGAGTTGGCCACACACACACAAAATAAATAAATAAATAAATAAATTAAAAAAAAATAAACTACACCCCCAGTCCTTTTTCAAATGTTTTACTAAGTCACTAAATCATCTGAGCTAGGCTCCAACTTGTGATCCTCCTGCCTCAGCCTCCCAGAGTGCTGAAATTACAGGGATGTATCACTGTGTCTGAATATGGTCTTCCTCATAAATAACCCTTCCTGGGTGACAGTCTCTCCTCTTTGGACTTCTGGGACACCACACACTCCTCATTTTCCTATTGCTCCTCTGAGAAGCCAGCTCTGCAATCGAACTCTCCACCCCCACCCCAAAATCTGGAATTCCTGAGGTAGGTAGGTGGCCTCTTCCCCTTCCTCCCTCCCTCTTCCTCTGTAGGCTGTTGCTTCCCCTCTATCCCCAGGTCTGGACTGTCCCACGGAGACTGCTTCCTCTCGACCCTCCTAGGCCCTTCCCACCCACCACATCCCATCCTGGCCTCCACGTCTGCAACAATCTAGCTTTTGTTTCTCCTACTGGCCACTGAACCCATGTAGCTCTGAGCTACATTCCCAGCCCTTCTTTATTTGATTTTGAGATAGGGTCTTGCTAAGTTGCCCGGGCTGGGCTCAGAGTTGCGATCACCCAACCTCAGCCCCCCAAGTAACTAGATTACAGTCATGCAGCACCACGCCCAGCTGCACATCTGCTCTCCCTCACAGGTCCTGGCTTAGAGGCCCTTGTCCCCAGGATGCTTTGCTCCCATACAGGCTGGCAGGTTCCAGCCCATCAGGCCTTCAGGGTGACTCTCCTGTGCACCTGGGAACAGCCCCATCTGACCGCTGAGCTCCCTCCCCCCTCTGGAGCAATAGGGAGCTGGGAAAACTTAGCTAAATACCAAACCCAACTCACATCTACAGCGCCCCGTGAATCCCAGGATGGAGTCTAAAGCCCTCATTCCTGCATCCCCAGCCTTGTCGGATATAAGCGCGGCCTTTAGAGATTCAAGGGTGAAACATGTCTCGTTGGATTCTGAGACAGCCACGGGCTATTTTCAGACACCCAACGGAGCTTCCAAAGAGCAACCAGAGTACTTGAAAAATCCCGCTTAGAAAAGAAAAACAAAGAATAACTACTAGCACCGCCTTGTGGAGAGACCCAGCTCCACCTAGGAATCTCCTGCCCCTCACCTTAGTGCCAGTAGAATCTAGTCCAACAGCTGGGGCAACCTGAGGCCCTCCCAGCGCCATTTCCACCCCCACCCCCACACACACCAGCACTATCTGTGTGCCCTGCACACGGGCATCTTGCGCCCCAACTTGCAGCCATGCCCTGCCTCTGACTGGCTTGGCCCACTGTCCCCTGCCATCCTTTGAGGCTCCTCCTCAACTCCAAAGCCCACAGTACTGCAATCTTTGGGGGACACTTTAACAACGGTAGTGGTGGTCACGGATAGAGTCATGGCTCTCAGGACCCCTCACCCACTCAGTGCTTCCATAACCCTGTCCTGTCCTGCACTGTCCTTACATCCTTGCTGTTGTTAATTAGGAAGGGATGGTTATTGTCTACAGGTGTGAATGAGGAAAGGCGGCCCAAATAGGTGGAGCCACCAGCTCGTCACCCAGAAAGCTGTGCAGCATCAAAACCATCAACACCTGCATCCAGATGTGACTGCTGTACCCTAAGCTTCTGGGAATATGCGGGAGCCCCTCCAACTCTCTCCCTTGGTAGCTAGACCCATCTCTGTCCATCCCAGTATTTTCTGCTTTTCTTCCCTGAGTTGTTGACCCATAGGCCCAACCCTGGCACCTCGCTTCAGTGAGCCCCAGAAAAGAAACTGTGACAAAGGAGCCCAGCTCTGCTTCAACCTGCTCGTCCGAGGGTGGCACCTTCTCTTGAGTGACTGAGAGCCCACGTTCGCTCTGCACCACAGCTGCATGGTTGGAGCCCGAGTTGCTATTTGCACCAGAACTGAGAGCCAGAGAGGCCAGAGAACCAAAGTCATTTCCTCCAACACATTCAGGGCTTCCTCCTCTCAGGCTGCGAGGTCTATCCTACTACCATCTCCATTTTGCTGAGGAAAATGAAGCTCAGAGAAGGTTAGCTGTTTGCCCAGGGCTACACAGCTAGAACGTGCTAATGCCTGAGACTGAAGTCAGGTCTTGTGGCTCCGGGAAGAGAGGGAGTCAAGCCCAGCTGAGGGAGGCTGAAAGAGAAAGGCTGCCCTGAACAGAGCTTCTCCAGCTGGTCCCCAACTGTGGAAGAGAGAAAACGGTAGGCAGGCTGCCTGCAGTCTGCGCCACTCTGGGCCTAGGGTGCCAGCCACTACCCGGCATGGCTCATCTCCATCATTCCTGCTGTGGCTTTGGTGGCACCATCTCTGCCCTCTCCATCCCTCGGGGCTGAGTCCAAAGTCCTTCCTCTGCTCTTTGTGACAGAATCGGGAATGTCTGGGTTTGGTGGGAGTCCTGGGCCCCCCAACAATAACAGATGCAGTTTATGTCATTAGCCCCATGTCCCCAACAACCTCACAGAAGGAGAATGAGGACCTGTACCCCACCCCTGGGAAACTGAAGCCCACAGAAAGAATGTCACCAGCATGGGACCATGCAGCAACAAAAGGAGCACAAGCAGAGGCAAGCGTAGGCCTGTGTGTTTGAGTGCAGGGGCCGTGTCCTTAAACCATGACAACCACAGCAGTGTCTCCACCCCAGCCTCAAGCAGAGGATGTAGGTCCAGGGTTAGCTAAAAAATCACTGAGAGGGCAATGAGGGGAAACTGAGGCAGGATGCCAAAGAGGTTATACAGGGTGGCAGGAAGGCAAGTGATGGCAGAGCCCCACAGCAAATTTGGTTAATATTTAATCAGGTGCAAGAGGCCTCAGAGGGGTGCAGTGGTTCCGCAAGGGGTGCCTAGAATCAGGGGGCTCCATGGGGTGGAGGGTATAGGACAGAATACAGCAGGAAGGGCACTAGGCAGGGCCAAAGTTGGGGCTCAGGTAAAGGGGCACTCACCCTCTTTCTCAGCCATGTCACAGCCTCTTGTTAATGATTCCCCGGCTGACCTCCTGGCCGGGGCGGGACCTATGGGGAGATGAACAGGGAGGCAGGACTCGGGGAGCCCAGCCCAGGCCTGCACCCCCAGTCCCAGGCGTCCATCCAGGGAGGCTGGAGGGACTGGGCTCTGGCCAGAGCATGCCATGATCACGGGTACAGACGAGGCTGGGTTCAAGGGTGGGGTCAGTGTCTGCCCAGTGCCAGATGGACAACTGGATTTGCAGACCTGAAGACCTCCAGGTTTGAACCTGGGTTGGAGGTAGCCAAGGACTGGAGCCACCACCGGGGCTAGGGGAAAAGAGGACTGAGCGCCCGGAGGAGGAATGTGGGGGCCAGGACTCCTCAGCATGAGGGAAGATGGGCCTAGGGCCTGGACCCCTGGCTCCAATCTCTGAGTCTGCAAGGAGAGTGGGTCGGAACTCCTAGACCCTTGGGGAGAGGTCAGATAGCCCACTCCTAGGGCCCCTGTATTGGGAGGTGGGCGTCAGGTGGGGTGGGGAGCAAGCAAACCCCGTCCTCTGGACTCGAACTGTGAGTCCGAGGGCTTTGGTCCTTACCCTGGGGTCCGGCCAGTGAGGGCAGGGCCTTGAGATGGTGCCGGTTTAGGGCTCAATCTCCAGGCCTTGGCAGAAGCATGGTGGCCCTGCAGCAGAGGGCGAACTGGGAGGCAGAGCAGCGGGTGGCAGCGGTGGCGTGGGGCCTGCTAGGCCGGGCTGCCTCACCTGAGGAGGAGGGGGCTGGGCAGGAGGCGGGGGAAGGGGCGGGGAGGGGCTGGAGCACAGGATTGGCAGCGCCAGAGGCCACCTGGCTGGTGGGCTGGGCTGGCAGGGGTTGGACCAGGCAGGCCCAGCCACCAGTCTGGGAGGAGACCGCGGAGGGGCTCAGTCCATGGGAGTGGGCCAGGGGTGCCTAGGGGACTGGAGGATGGGGGCCGCCCTGGCAGGGACTGCTGCCCCAGCCCACTGGGCTCAGTACTTTCCTTGCCCCTGCCAGGCCCCAGTCCCCACCCACTGCCAATCTCACCTACAGCCCTGGGCCTCTCCCTAGTCCTCTTCCTCCACTAACCCCTGTCGCCTCTGTCCCTTCCCCTGTCCCCAGCCCAGCCTAGCCCAGGCCGGCATTGCCCCACTCATGCCACCCCCAGCTCCCTCCCCCAGCTGCTTTTCTACAAGTCACGGGGGTTGGTTTGCTTTGGCAGCCTCTCTGCAGTCTGCCCAGTGACCTCTGGAGCCAGGAAAGTCCTGCATGGGGGGGGGGACAGTGGGGGTGGTCCGGAAAAGGCCACACAAAGTGCACAGGGCCAGGCCAAGCTGCAGGAAGTGTCTAGAGGCAGATACACACTGTCCCGCCAGCAGCCAAGAGCCATCTGCGTCAGACCCCGGGGCCAGTGTCACCACCAGACAGCAGCCCTGAACAGGCATCTGACACAGGACATGCTGCTCATACCAGGAATCTGCCCGCAAAATCAAACCCGCCTGCCCAACCCAGAGAGCCTTCTGTGCCCCGTTCACACACAGGCTCTCAACCTTGCACAGGAGGACACACTGGTATAGCTGAGCTCTGGGTTCCTGACACGCTCCCTCTGCCCATCTCCCACTTCTCCAGAGACCCACACACTTCAAGGGACTCAGCACACCCCACAGATCCCCTGTCCTCTAGCATCGGCTCTGCCTCTCCCTGCCACGGCACCCCCAAACCCAGAGCCAGCTCCCTCTCCATCCTAGGTCCTCCCATTCCCTTCCCGATAAGCTAATAACTTCCTCAACTGCAACATTAGTAAGTGTTAAGTGGCTTCACCATCCCAGTTCAGCCCTAAATGTGCATGGTGGAGACTGGCTGCCTGCAGGGAGAGGAGGGGTGTCTGGGGAAACCGAGGCTCTTAGATTTGGGGCAAGACTAGAAGGTGTGGGAGCTCAGGAGAGACAGTACATCAAGTCCAAGAATCTTTATTTCGAGAACAAAACTACTTCTGTAAAGAGAGACGAGGCAGAACGGCCCCCCTCTGAGAGGCCACAGTCGAAGGCTGGTGAGAGAGGGCGGGTGGGGCCGGGGCCAGAGTGCATCACAGGGAGAGGGGACCCCAGGTCCAGCCGGAGGAAGCAGGAGGGCACATGATGCTGGGCGTCGCAGTGGGGCCAGAACCCCCTGCCCCAAACTGTTCTGGGCCCTCATCACAACCCCCAGCCAGGCAGGGAGGGGTTGGCCCCAGCAGTGCGCGTCTGAAGCGGGCCGATGTGTGCAAATCAGCAAGAAGAAGGGGTATGGAGCCACTGCCCCCGCCTCGCCGCCCCCTCCCCAAACAGGCAGCAGAAGCAGGGGTGGGGGCAGCGGCAGTATTGCTTTACCCATCATGCATGGCGGTGGGTGGGCGGCGGGGCAGGAAGGAAGGCTGGATGAGGAGTGTCCCCTCCCACCCTGGCGGCTCCGCTGGCAGGACTCTGAGGCACGGGGAGGCCCCTGGACGCTGTCCCCCATTGGGGGCAGGCATGCCTAGATGTCCTTGTCTAGAGCTGGCTCTTCCTTGAGGCGGAGCCCAGGGCCTAAAAGGAAGGGAGAGAGGGAATAAGGGACCCCACCGGGCTGAAAGCCCCCAGACCCTCCACCCACCACACACCTTACCAGGGCTACTCAGCCACCTGGACACCAGTACAGTTCTCCTTGCTCTCTGAGGTGATGGCCAGGTATTCTGAGCTGCAGGGGAAACACGAGGTGCAGTCACCGCACATGGCCAGTCTAGCCCAAGCCTCACAGAATAAGGCAAGCCTGACCCCAGCCACCCCGTCCCACCTCCAACACCCGCACTCTGCTCCGGGGGCGCCGACCAGGGGCATCCCGGGTCCCTCCTGCCTCCTCGCCCAGGCCACTCACGCGTTCTCCTGTGCAGCAGCCTCCGTGGCGGCGGCGATCTTCTTATAGCAGTACACCATCTCCGCCACCAGCCATATCGTCAACACCACAATGAGCACGTACATCATGATCTCAGACACGATGGAAGCCATGTCTCTGTTGGCTGACAGGAGCAGGGGCGGGGCTGACACACCAGCTCAGAAAACACAACAGCCCGAGCGTGCAGCACGCTTTGCTGAGGAAGCCGGGGCAAACGCCTTGACCTCCCTGAGCCTGGGCACAGATGGGACAACCGCGCTGCTCCCCCAGCCTTAGACAGACCTGGCGATCACCCCAATTTGCCTCCTTGTGTAACTTGCACAGCCGTGTCACTCAGGAAGCTGCCGGGCACGAAACCTAAGAGCTTATGTTGTAACTGCAACCAAAGGCTGAGTTCAAATCTTGACTCTGCCATCTGCCAGCTGTGTGACCTGGCTTCCCCTCTCTGGGCCTCCATGTCCCCAAACTCAAAAAGCTGATGTAGTGGCTAATACATTGTGCCAACTTGTGAAGTTTGGACGTTTAATTAAGTGGCTCAGCAGGGAGCCAGGATTCTTATCGTTTAAACATCCTCATTCTGTACAAGAAGAGGGCAATTGTGTGAGAGCTACATCCCCAGGCCCAGGGTAGCTTGTTTACAAGACGAGGAGGAGAGGAAGAGGCTGGTTAGAAGGCAGCTGCTGCCCTCCCCTTAGCTTCTCACTGTTTTCCGCTGCCATGAACAGCTGCCCTCTGCCATGTGCCACTCTGTGGCCTGGGAGCCAGCAGAGTATAGACCGAAACGTCCACAAACTATGAGATAAATAAACCTTTCCTTCCTTCATTTTGAGTGTTTGGTATTTGTCCCAGCACGTTAGTAAAAAGTAACCAAGATAGCTGATAACCATGAGATAGCCTAGACCAAGGAAAATAAGCTTTTAATAATCCTTAGAACAAGGGCAGGGGTATCAGTGCCTGCTGGGCAAGTGCAAGGTCCCAAGTTCAATCCCCCATACCAGAATAATAATAATAATAATAATAATAATAATAATAACAATAATTCTTAGAACAAGCTGGATGTAATGGAAACAACATTAACCCCAACACTTTGGGAGGCTGAGGCAGGAGGATGGCAAGTTCAAGTGCAATTTGGGCAGTTCAGTAACTCAGTGAAAGCCTTCCTCAAAATTTAAAAAGAATCATTGAGCATCCTGGAGCACCCTTGCAATCTCAGCACTCAGGAGGCTGAGGCAGGTGGATCACTGTGAATTCAATGTCAGCCTGGACTACACAGTGAGACCTCATCTCAAAAAAAAGAATTAACATTAAAAATTAAAAGCAGGGGGCTGGTGAGATGGCTCAGTGGTCTAAAGCACCTACTTAGAACAAGCTAAGCTAAGCAAAGCACAGGGACCGCGGTTCAATCCCCCAGCACCACATGCCAGCCAGCCCCGCCCTCTGGTGGGCTGAGCTGGCCACACACACACACACATGCCAGCCAGCCCCGCCCTCTGGTGGGCTGAGCTGGCCACACACACACACAAAATAAATAAATAAATATATATATATATATATATATATATATATATATATATATATATATAATTAAAAGCGGCTGGGGATATAACTTAGTGAGAAGGACTGAGTTCACTTTCCAGTACTGCAAAATGAACACATACAATTAAAAATATCCTTAGAATAGTGTGTGACTTATCAATAGCACTCAATAAATATTTACTATCACCACTCCACTATTACCGTTACGACTGAGGCAGTGCAGCATAATGGTTAGGAGGAGGGAGCTCCGGCCCCAGATTGCCAGAGTTTTGTCCTACTTTTGCCTTGTACAAGCTGTGCAGCGTTTGGCAAATGACTGTGCCTCTCTGAGTAATCCTCCTTGTAAAATGAGGGTAATGCTCACACAGCCTCCAGAACTGCTGGGCAGAGGACAGGAACTAACACCTGTACACCGCATGGCTCAGCCAGCAGCCAGCAGGGTGCGGCTATTTTCCGGAAAGCCTGCATCCTCTCTGCAGCGCTGGCCCTCGCCACCGCCAGCTTCCTTTCATTGAGCCTAAATTTAAACTGTAAAGGGAGCTCGATCAGCCAGGGGATCAGTCAAAGGCACTTTGGCATCCTCCACCAGGTCTCTCAGGTGTCCATCCGGCACCCCGGCCGGTCCCCGACCTCACTGCCCCATGCTGTCCCCATGCCGTCCCGACGCCTCTTCTTCCCTGTGAGCCAGCACTGTCTGCTACTCCACCCCGTGCAGAGGGCAGGGAGCCTTCCGGGCCAGCACAAGCCCCTGTGCCTGAAGCAGGACCCAGGACAGGGTTCCAGGTCCCCTGCGCTCGTTCATTCACTCACCCAGTGGATGTCACTGTAGCCACCCTAATGCACCTCTCTAGGGAGCGGCTACTCACCGCCAGGCTCTGAGCTCTGATGCTCACCTAAACATCTCCCTGGCTCCTCGGAACAGCCCCAAGCACAGGACTGCCCAGGCTCCCCAGGGAGTAACCACACCAAGTTACAGCCTGGGTGGCTACAGCTCCATGGTTGGATTCTCACCTTTCTCCGGGAAACCAATGCCCAGGGAGATTTATGTAACATAGTACCTCTGCTCTCCAGATTCTGCCACAATTTTTCTAGACAGAATCGCTCAGGTACCGAGAAGGACAGGTGCTGGCCCAAGAACACGCAGCCAGCACCGGCCTTGGAGCCAGGGTCGCACCCCCACTTCCCTAAGTGCAACTGACTGCAAAGACATTCTGAGCTCAAGGAGCCACCAGTGGCCCCAGACAGACCAGAGACATCTCAGGACAGGAACTGAGGCAGAGGGGAGCTTCTCATGGGGTTGGCACACCTTCCCTGAGGGTCCCATGATTTCCTAAAGCCCCAGACCTCTAAGAGCGCCACCAAACAGGCAGCCCCCAGATCCGAAGTGCCTGCTGAGTCTCACCAGCTTCAGGCCCTGTTAGCCTCCAGGTACTTTCCTCTCCCGCCCTGTATTGTTATTGTCCTGTCTGCCCACTCACACCTCCTTTGGGCCTCCTGCCCTCTTTCACACCCCTCCAATGGCATTCTCACCACCACCCTCTGGACATGACTCAGGTCATCCCTGGGAGCCACCAGCAGGAGGTGGTGTGGGCTGATGGCAAACACTGAAACCACAGTGAAACAGCTAGTGAAAGTAATTCTAAACTAGACACGCGCAGCATGGAGACAGCAAGTAAAAATAATTCTACACTAGACACGCGCAGCATGCCTGTAATTCCAGCACTTCAGAAGGCTGAGATAGGAGGGTCACAAATTTGAAGCCCATCTGGGCAACTTAGAGACATGATGAGACTTTGTCTCAAAATTAAAAAATAAAAATAAAGCACAGGTTGTGAGGGATGGCCACTGATACTAACAATACAACAGCACCGTTTGGAATGAAAAATACTGTAGTGGAATGTCATGTTGAAAATAAACAGTATCCTGGGGGGCTGGTGAGATGGCTCAGTGGTCTAAAGCACCTACTTAGAACAAGCTAAGCTAAGCAAAACACAGGGACCGCGGTTCAATCCCCCAGCACCACATGCCAGACAGCCCCGCCCCCTGGTGGGCTGAGCTGGCCACACACACATAAATAAATAAATAATTAAAAAAAAATGTTAAGAAAATAAACAGTATCCTGGATAATGGTAAATACAGTATATAGGAGCTGGTGAGATGGCTCAGTGGTCTAAAGCACCTACTTAGAACAAGCTAAGCAAAGCACAGGGACCGCAGTTCAATCCCCCAGCACCACATGCCAGCCAGCCCACCCCCTGGTGGGCTGGGCTGGCCACACACACACACACACACAAATAAATAAAATATTTTTTTTAAATACAGTATATAGCATCATAAGCTACACTGGATATTACTGCAATATGATCCATAATATTTAACTTATTTTTTTAGCCATTTATTTATTTATTTGGTACAGGTTCTTGCTACACAGCTTGGACTCATAGTGATCCTCCTATCTCAGTCTCCCCAGCGCTGAGATTATAGGCATGCACCACCATGTTGGGTCTCGGCGGCTGGCACGGCACACCAGGGGTTCTGCAGCCGGCCTGTCATGAACTCAGTTCCTTGTGCTTGCCAGGCAGGTGCTTAAGACCACTGAGCTATCTTCCCCAGCCCTGATTCATATTTTAAAATACTAAAGTAAGGCCAGAGGTATAGCTCAGTGGCACAGCACCTGCCTGGCAAGCATGAAGTCCAGAGTTTGCTTTCTGGTACCAAAAAAACCTAGAGTAATAATAAAACCATGATAGCATGGCTGAGAACAATGGATATGCTCTCGTTCTGCTGGGCCTGGTGGCGCATGCCTGTAATCCTAACATTTGGGAGACTGAGGCAGGAGAACATCAGTGAGTTCAAGGTGAGCCTGGGCTGTATAGCCAGCTCAAGGCCAGCCTGAACTAGCTAGTGACATCCAGTCTCAAAAACCAAAAACACTTTAAAAATTTAAATACATAAATAAATACATAAAAATGTGGGGGCCAGTAAGATAACTGAGCAGTCTAAAGTACCTGCTTAGGCAATCTTAGGCAGGTGCAGGGGACCACAGTTAGATCCCCGGCACCATATGCTGCACCAGCTCTGCCCTCAGGGCACACTGAGTCATAGAAAAATACATAAATAAATAAATAAAATGCTCTAGTTCTACGGGTTATAAAAATACCATGGAGAGGGTCAGTAAGATAGCTCAGTAGGCTAAGTGCCTGCTTTGGCAAGTGCAAGGACCAGGGTTCGATCCCCAGTCCCACATGCCACCCCGGCCTCACCCCCCCCCCAAGCCCCACTCAGCAGGCCACCAAGTCCAGGTAATCCCAGCGCTGGGGAGGCTGAAAACAGGAGGATCACCAAGAGTCCGATCTGCATAGTAAGGCCTTGTACCAAATACATAAAAGTGAAAAAATAAAATAAAATTAAAAATATCATTGAGCCCAGTACTCAGGAGACTGAGGCAGGAGGATCACTGTAAGGCCAGCTTGGACTACAAAGTGAGGTCGAGGCCAGGCTGAACTGCATAGTGAAAAAGCAAAGCAAACAAACAAACAGACAAAAACCCATTGCCTGGAACTGTCGACACAGCAGGGGAGCAGCAGCGAGTAATTGTAATCCCAGTACTCAGGAGGCTGAGGCGTGAGACTTGCAAATTCAGCCCAACCTGGGCAATTTAGCACAACCTCAAAATAAAAAATTACAGGGCAAGGATATAGCTCAGCAGCACAACACCTGCCTGGCAAGCAGGAGAACCTGAGATCCATTCCTGGTACCCTCCCCCATGCCAAATGAAAAATAAAAAAGGGCTGAGGATGTAGCTCAGTATGAAGGCTCTAGGCTCAATTCTCAGCACTGAGAAAAAAGGTCCAAATTATAATACAGTGCGCAGAAAATACTAAAATGTAGTGGATTATGCTGAAAACACACACTTATGCAAGACCACACAGAGAGATCTGTATTTCGGTGACCATGGTTTAGAATGCAGGCTCTGGGAGATGGCATAATGAGGTAGCAAAGGTGACCCAGAGGCTCTCAGTTACAGGCAGAGGGGCATACTCAGTGCAAAGTGGAAAGAGGCCTGGGGACAATATCCCGAGCCCCCCACGCTCCCCTCAGCATCAGTCTTGGCTCAACAGCCAGGCATTGTTGCCCAGGTCTTGAGGCATCCTTGTCACAGCCATTGTGTTGCACCCCCTCTCGGGGCTGACCACCCACCAGCGAGGTGATGTGTGCCCCTCGAGTGGCTCATCCACACCTTCCAAATTGCCTTCTGCTGTCACCCTTTGGTAAAAAATGTAAAAACACTAATTCTGAAAAGAATCCCACAGGCATAGTGGCCCGAGAACAGTGATTCATGCTGAGAACAGAACCCACAGTCACCTGGTGGGGGGAGGTATCAAATCCAGGTCCCAACTACATGATCCCGGCCACATGACCTCACCTCCCTAAGCCTCAGCTTTCTTGTCCATACAGTGGGGACATAAGACCTCTGCCTGAGAGGTCGCTGGGGGGCTCAGTGGGGCCTGTGCCAGCAGCACAAAAGCCAGCAGCTGCGTGGTGGAAAGGACAGTGCTGCCTGTTGCTGGGCTGCTGGCTTGCGGGCCCCAGGGGACGTACTTGCTACGGCTCTCAGCTGGCTCTAGGCCTGGAATAGCTCCCTGAATCTGGGAGCCAATGGGCCACAGCGCCCTGGAAAATTCCAGCGTGTGCTGGGGAGGAGATGGCCCGGAAGGGGAGGAGCTCCGTCGGAGAAGGGGGGCAGCTAAAAAGCCACATGTGGAGGTGGCACCGCAATGTGTGGACCCTAGGGCTGCCCATGTGGCCCCCCAAGCTGCCATACAGACTTGCTGAGAGCTTGTGAGACTCCACTCCTGGGCCACCGGGATCTGTTGAGTCAGGCTGAGCATGTCCACAGACCCCTGCTGGCTGGTGCACAGGGTGGCACTTGAGCAGCCACTCTGGGTGACACTCTACCATGACCAAGGGACACGGGGCAAAGCTATTCAGTGAGCAGAACTGCCAGGCCTGGTGGCACACACCAGGTTGCGGCTGGAAGATACAAGTTTGACTCCAGCCTGGGCAACTTAACTTAGAAAGACCGTTTCTCAAAAGAAAAACTAAAAAAGGAGTTACGATGTAGCTCAGTGTGAAGGCCTTGGGATCAACCTCCAGTACCACAAACAATGATAAAACACACACACACACACACACACACACACACACACACACCAAAAACACACAAGCCAAGGCTCTCACCCTAGCAAATAAGGTACTGCTGTGAGCAGGGCCAAGCCGGAAGTGACACCTATCATGCAGTCACTCCTCCTAACCTCCTGAGAGAGAACAATGTCTTCAACCCCGGTAGCAGGGTACAGTTATCATTCCTGCCTCCTGTAGAACCACTCTAAAGCTCACAGGCAGCAAGCACCCGCAGAAGGTTATACAGCACAAGCACTGGAGCTGGGATTTGCACCTCCAAAATCCACGGGGAGAACCCTACTTGGAACTCGCCATGGGTGTCAGGGAAGTTGAAGCCACAACCAGAATGGATGGGGGTGCTGCTCACCCCACTGTAGCAAGGGGGTTGGCTGGCCCAGGCAGAAAGCCAGCCTGTCCCCTACCTGCCATCTGTCCCTCCATCTGGTGTAGTAGTGGGTGACAGGGGCAAAGAAAGAGGCAGGACTCACCTTTGTCCACCACCTCAAGGTGGATCTTCTTGACAACGCTGGTGTTGTGCTCATAGTTCTCAAAGAACAGCAGGCGGTAGACGTGGCATTCGTAGTCACCCGAGTGGTTGTAGGTGACATTGGTGATGAAGATGGAGAGGTCCTGCAGGTCCTTGGTGCCCCGGCTGCCGTTCCACACCACACGGCCCTCAAAACGTTCATCCTCCTCCAGCTGTAGCACCTCATTTTCGTAGCGCAGGATCTTGGGGAGCCCCAGAGGTGAGATGGGGTATGGGTCAATGCCTAGGCCTGCCTCCCCACTCCTGACCCCAAAATTGTCCCTGCCCTGCATAAAAAGACACCAGTGGCACCGGTGGGTTTAGGTACCTTGACCTCAGGCAAGGAGGACACAGCTAGCCTGGATCCATGCAGATCCTGGGACACACAGAGACTCTGGCACAGTCCCCAGTCATGGTCCCTGAGCTGCAGAGGCCTTCCCTACCCTCATTCCCTGGGGTCCTTTCCCAGGTACCACACACACTCCTCAGGCAGGGGCTGGGCAGCCTGATCCTGGGTGCTGCATACCCCAACTCTCCAGCAGGTACTAAAGTCAGCGGTGCCACCCATAAGTAATTCAACATATGCAAACAGCACAAAGGAGATTTTTTAGAAGTCCCACTTTCTCTTTGTGACAACTATCCCGGAGATCTTTGCTGGTGGACAAGTAATTCCAGTGACATTCACTTCTTGTCAGCCCCACGTGTCAGGAGCATGAAGTCACTCAACTCTCACGCAAACCTCTGGGCTCTATCTTCACTACCTCACCCTTGCAGAGACAGCCTCAATGGCTTGTCCAAGGTCACTGGCTGGTCAGAGGTGTCGCCAGAATGTGGATCCAGGTCATTCATCACAGCCACACTATTCTCATTAAAACAAGCCAACAAACAACTCCCCCATCTTGAAATCCAGGCTTCCTGACTCCCCAACATAGACAATGCCCTCTGATGCCCCTGCCAGGCACCCACACACCTTGACAAACTCCTCCGTGCCCTTCTGGCGGAAGGTCCACTCGGTGAAGGTCTCAGCCGTGGTCTCGCTGCGGCGCTTGCAGGAGATGCACAGGATTTTGAAGGTCATCCCATACACAGCCTCGGTCTCCGAGTCCACCTCCACACAGCCCCCCCAGGCTGAGGACACTGTGGGGACAGCAGGCTCTGGTTGGGCACGACACCCATCACCCTCGGCACTGCTGTGCTGTTAGCTTTCAGGGCCCTTGGAAACCATCTGTTTCCTCTCAATAATGATCACAAATGGACAGAACTGGAGCCAAACCCTGCCCACACTTGCTGTGTGACCTTGGCAATCAGTCATCTTCTCTGAGCCTCAGTTTCCCTCTCTCTGTTAAATAAGCAGTGGAAATAGCATTTTCAGCCGTTGTTGGGCAGAACCTCTCAGTGCTTGGGAGGTCCTGGTACCCAGGGCTCTCAGTGTGGCCAGTTACTCTGTCTTCTGTGTGTTGGAGGACCCTTTCCTCAGAAGACCAAGCCACTAAAACATCAGGAGGTAGGACTAGAATTCCAGGTCCTTTAGAAGCTCAGGTCACAGAGTCACCCATTTCACTGGTCTGCAAATCCAGCCTCAGCTTGAGAGAAGGGACACTTTCAGGGGGGCTGAACACATGCCAGGCCTGCTCCCTCCACCAAGCCCCTGCGGAATCCACCCTCTCCCAGACTTTGGCCCCTTCCTCTACTTCCCAGGCTCCATTACCTCCAGGCCCCCACTCCCTAGTAGCCTCTCAAAAGCTCTTTCCTACCTCAGGGCCTTTGCACTTCCAAGGGATTGCAGGCTAGCTAAATTCCTCCTTCACCCTCCCACCTGCCACCTCCTTCCGGCTCCCAAGGCTCCGAGGCTACTGGTGAGTCTTTTCCATATCCCTCAGCCTTCAGGGCTTCTTGTCTGCCTGCCTTACTCAGGCTCTACGGGCTCCTCTCCCATGGGTAATCCTCTCTGGGATCTCTCAGGAAGGTCCTATCACTTTAAGTCTTCTTTCCTGCTCAGATTCTCGCTCCTTTCTCCACCTTTCCATGTCTCTCCCTTTCAAACTCCATCCCGCATTGTTCGTCCCGTCTGCGGCTCCCTCCCTAACCTCTCCGTCACCGTTAGCTTCCCCTAAGTTTTCCTCTCCCTCAGACACTCCGCTGACACTCCGCTCCTTTCTCCCCGCCGCCTCTGTCCAGCATCTCCGTCGGTCTCTCACCTGGCCCCCAAGCCGCGCCTCGCAGCGAAGCCCTCGCCCCCCGCCCCCAGCGCTTCGGGTCTCTGCCCCCTCCCTCCCTCCTGTCTCCATCTCTCCGGCCCCGCGCGCCGCCTCCCCCACCCCTCCCGCGGCTGTGGGTGTCACATTGCAGGCTGCGGGGCTCTGGGAGCAGCTGACTCCGCGTTTCCTCGCCCCCGGCTGGGCGCCCACAGCTACGAGGCCGAGCCACCCTGGCCCCCAGCGCTCTTGTCCCTCGCCCCTCCGCCTCCCTGACGGCCCTGCGCCCCACAACCCGCGCGCACAACTTCTAAAGCGGACTTTGCGGCGCCCGGGCGGACGGGGGGTGGCCCCGGCGTGACCAGCGAGAGTTACGAGCGCGAACCCCGCCGCCCCGCTGGTGCCTGCTGCGCCCCCCGCCGCGCGCGCCTCCAGCGCACTCACCCAGTGCCGCGCCGACCACGAAGGCCAGCAGCGTCCCCATGGCTGCGCCGCGCGCGCTGCGCCCCCCTCCCGGGCCGCCGGTATTAATAGCGGGGCGAGAGGCAGCGGGACCGGGCGGCGGGTAGAATGTCCCCGGGAGCGCGCGGGCGCAGCAGCTGCGGCTCTGGGACCGGCGAGGGGGGGCGCGGCCCCCCCGC